GCCTGTGTTTTGGGGGGGTCGGTTGGGGAAGGGCCCTATTTGATGGTGAGACCAGAGCGAAACACACCAGCTCCCCTGGGTGAAGAATGCCCGGCAGCTTCCGGTGCCTCTGCAGCTGCGTGGGACTCACCCTGCACCCTCAGAGCGAGGCATTATTTTCTCTCTCTTGTCAGATACCGACGCCCACGCAGGAAAAAGGAAGCACCTTTTGTCAGATGCTGCGGCCACTTCCTCTTCAGAAGTCTCCAGCCAATCTCGCGCTTTGCAGAATGAGGGGGCCGAGGCCAGCTGCCGGACTGCGTGCACGCTGGGCCGCGGGCTCTCCCCTCCTCCTCGGGCTCCTTTCGGCCGGCCTTGGCCTGGGCGGGAGCAGGCAGCTCTCTGGGTCACAGGGGAATTTTCTCTGATACAGATCTGGACCCTTGAGCAGGACCTGGCTGGGGCCCCAGCCGCCTCTCCACCCCCTCGGGGGTTCCTCTCTGGCCTCTCCACCCACGCTCTGCACACTGCTTCATGTCCCTCAGTCAGTCTGCCTGTCTGCTCCTCTCCATAGCTCGGTCCAGGAGCGTGATGACCGGCGAGCAGATGGCAGCCTTCCACCTGTCGTCCACCCCCAACCCGCTGGAAAGGCCCATCAAAATGGGCTGGCTGAAGAAACAGCGGTCCATCGTGAAAAACTGGCAGCAGAGGTACTTCGTGCTGAGGGCGCAGCAACTCTACTACTACAAGGACGAAGAGGACACGAAGCCACAGGTACTGCCAGGCTGTCTGTCCCCATTACCAGGGCCCTGTCCCCAGGCCTGCAGGAGGCGGATATGGAGCCCCCTTAAATCGCTATCAACTCCCAGGGGCCTTCGTACTGGGACTAGACACACATTTATTTGAGAGGAGGTTACTCTCTCCTTTTCACCATTTTCTAGATAAGTAACCTGAGTTGCAAAGATGACAGGGTGACCCTCCTCCAGGAAACCCCAGGTGAACGCCATGGACCTTCCTAAGGGCACCTCTAAGTCAAGGCTGGCAACGTGGTCTTGATGGTAATGCTGAGTATGGGGGCTCAGAGGGAGTGGATTTGGGGGTCAGGAAAATGGATTTGGGGGCTTTCATGTATTTGTTTGTTCAATCGATATTTATTGAGCATCTATTATGTGCCAGACAGTGTTCTGGGTACTTGGAATAAACCAGTGAGTAAAATAGATAAAAATCTCTGCCATGTAGAACTTAGAAGATGAAGGGAAAGGCAGAGAATAAACATAATAAATAAAATGTATGCAGTTTGTTAGGAAAATCACTAGTTCTATGCGAAAAAAATAAAATGAGTTAAGGGGGGAGGTCAAGCGTTTGAGGGAGGTGTTACAATTTTAAAAAGGATGGTCAGAATGATCTGTGAAGAGAGTGACATCTGAGCAAGGACTAGGGAGGAGAGACAAGTAGTCAGGCACATCTCTGGCGGAAGAGCACTTTCGGCAGAGGGGCTAGCCCGTGCAAAGGCCCTGAGGCGGAGCACGTGTGCGGAATAGCAAGGAGGGCGGTGTGGGACCAGCAGAGCTAAGGATTAAGAGAATCAGAGGGGATGAGGTCAGAGAGGTTGCGGAGGGGGAAGGATTGGGACACACACTGCAAAAGCTAGTGTATGCCATAATAAGGGCTGGAGTGTTTACACTGAGGGTGATGGGGAGAAAGGGGACATTCTTTGACTTATGTTGTAAAAAGATGGCTGTCGATACAATGTCCAAAAATAGATTCAGGGACAGGAAGGAGGCACAAGGTGAGAGGTTATAATGTTTAGAATCTCAGTGGGAATTGTGAGCTGGAGGGAAATGGGTCAGATGCCTGATATATTTTGAAAGCAGAGCAAACAGGATTTCCCAATGGAGCTAGAGGGCTTTGATCCTAAATCTTGGGCCTAGATCTTTTCTCCCTGCATCACTGATCCTCGTGGCCATCATGCTGCATAAGAGTGAAAGGGGTGCTTTAGCAATTACCCTGGGACCCCAGGTCTAAACTCTGTCTCAGGGCAAACAGGACAACTGGTCACCCTATCTAGATCTCATGTCTCTGGAAGTGGAAGACAGACTTTAGAACAGTAGTTCCCAACGTGGGGCACATGCCCCACAGGGGGCAAGTTGATTTTTAAGGGACAATTTGAGAATGAGTTATTAACAGTGAATTTTTTGCATTTCTTAAGGTTCTAGGGGCTTCATATACAGCATATAAAAATATATTGTGACATTTATGCATTTCAGTTCTCTGTTTTGAAACGTTATTTGCTATTTTTTATATCATTTCATATTATTATTACTTTTTTTTTTTTAACAATTTCTTAGTGATTTCTTCCTCAGTACTTCAACTGTCCTTTCGTTCTTTTATTTTTCTCTTTCATGGATGCCATGGTCTTTGGAAGCTTGTTCAGACCAAGTTAATGGCCTTTTAGGCTTCCTCCACGTGAATAGGAGTTCACTTTTTGAATAATAGGAATTATATGTCACAGGGGGAGGGGGGCAGGCATCAGGATTTTAGAGATGCTTAGGTGGGGCATGGCTAAAAAAAGGTTGGGAACCACTGTTCTAGAATCTTCCGGAACCAGAAAGAAAGCCCCAGGAAGGGTGAAGATATTGGGGGTTCTTGGCAGGGTATGTGAAGAAATGAGACTGTCATTTTGGTAATAAGAGTTCTCTTTAAGGACAGAGTTAAGGATCCATGATGCGTCAGCAGCCCCTGGCTAACAAGGCCCTCCAGTGGGGGCTGTGATGTCTGTCACTTCAGAGGCCACAAAAGGGCCAGAAACTCCACCCCCGCCCCCCTCCCCCCAGACCCGGTTCTTGCTCAGTGTCCTGTGCGTGGTGACCAGATTTCCTTCACTTTATGAACAACCCAGTTCTATCAGATCCAAGTAATTACAGGCTCAGAGCGTGGTAACTGGTGCATTGATAGCTGATGCCGGAAGTCTTCCCATCAGCAGAGAGCAAGAGAGATGGCAACAATGTGTGGGCTTTCCAGAATGAGCAGAAAGGACAGCTCAGCGGGGTCTACTTCCGTGAGGTGTGGAGGGTGACGGGTGTGCTTTCTCCAAGCTTGTGTTCTTTTCCTGGCTCTACTACCATCTGACTATGTACTTATTTTATTTTTCTGGACACCCCCCTTTTTTGGTAAAATTAGACAATCATACCTGGCCTGTATTTGTCATAGGATCAAATGATATGTAACATGTGTAAGAAAATTCTGTTTTGAAAAAGCATAAACGATGTCAAAGGGTGAAATAAATTAGTGAAGGTCCTAGCTTCTCTCCCTTAAGTCTGGAAAGTCCTCTCAGGATTACATTAGTTTGGGAAAATTAGATAAAGCTGCTTCCAGGATGACAAGTAGGGTTTATTTTGTAGGAAATCTCTTAATATATTTGGTCAATAGGTAGAGAGCAATATATCAAATGAGAAAAACTACACAACCCCTAAATTGATGGCTGAAAAAAGCATTGGGTAAAATTAAATAATAATTTCAGATATAAAAAGTTTATTTAAAAAAAAAGTTTTTAGGAATACAGTGAATTTCTTAGAAAGAATATTTTACTTTATTTGAATATGTATATTTTGATTACAAAAGCTATATGTGTACATAATGGGAAATTTGTAAGATGTGGGAAAGCATAAGGTAGGAAATAAAAATGATCCCATTAGCAAAAATAACTACCCAAATCTTATATATATATAAGTATATATATACATTTAGGAACTTGTCTATTCTAAATGCAAAGTCAACATAATAATATTCTTTAGTTAAAAATTTAACAATATGTTGTGAGTATTGTCCATTATATAAATATTCTTCTACAATGTAATTTTTATTGGTGGTAAAATAATCTATTGTATGGACATTTTATAATCCATTGGGCCGATGGTTCTATATTATTATTACAAACAAGAATTGAAAGGATATCCTTGTAGATTTTTCATATATCCATAATTACTTCATTAAGATAAAGAAAAATCTATTCAAAATAGAGTACTTTTATTATGCTACCAGTTAACATTGTTTGGGGATTCACAGGCATTTCAAATACCTAAAATGAAATGAAAGTTACAGACATGAGCTAAGTTCTTTGGAAAAAGTAATGGCATAGTTCCACACTATGTTTTACACCATTCATGCTTTTGGATGGATTAAAGACTTAAATGTAAAAAAAGTAGCTAATAAAAATCCTAGAAGAAAATGTAGTTATCCTCAAAATCTTTGGGAGGCAGGTGTTTTATAAGCATAGCAACAGAGACAGCACTAGGGAAAGCAAATTTAATTGCATAAATTAAAATGTCCATACCTTACATAAAAACCAACATAATAAAACGAAAAGTCAAATAATAAGCAGGAAAAATTGCTTATGTACATATAACAAACAAATACTTTTAATATTTAAAGTATTCTTTAAAGACTATAAGAAACAGCTCAATAGAAAAATGAGCAAATGACATAAGTGGATAATTTCTCCAAAAATGCAATGGACAAAAAATGCACATAAAAAGTTCAATCTCATTAATAATTAAAAAACATACAATGTAAACCAATGAGATACTACTGCTCCCTTATCCAATTGGCAAGGATTTGTTATGTAATCAAATTGCCAAAGATTTTTTAGACATTTTAGTGTTGTAGGGAATAGGAATTCTCATGCACAGCTGGTGGAAATCATCATCCATACCACCTTTCTGGAGAGGAATATGCCTTTTAAAAATGCAAACCCTCCAGCGGCCTGGGAGTTCGTGGGGCCCACTGAATGCTTGAAAATTGCCCAATTACCCACCGTCATTCCCAGCACAGAGAAGTCCCTTACTGTACGTTTATTTCCTTGCCTTCCTGTTTCACGAAAGGAGGATCAAGCATCAATGTAAAACCAACCCCTAGGAAAGCCTGTTACCTAAGGCTCCTTATCACCTGAGCCTGAGAGCGACCAGGTGCCACTGGATTAGCAAAAGCAAAACCTTGAACTATTTCTCTGTCAGAGCCCATCATAATTGTTATATGCATTATATCATCATTATTTAAAGGACTTCTACTGATACTGTTTTCTTGAAAATATTTTTATTGGTTTCAGAGAGGAAGGGAGAGGGAGAGATAGAAACATCAATGATAGAGAATCGTCAATTGGCTGCATGTGCCCCAACTGGGAATCGAACCATGACCTCCTGGTTCAATGTTCAACCATTGAGCCATGCCATCTGGGTTCTATTGATATTCTTTTATTTCTATAATTCTGTTTTGGGGTGTGTGTGTGTGTGTGTGTGTGTGTGTGTTTTAATGATTTCAGACCCTACTCCTTGGGAAGGAGCCCAAGGAGATAAGATGTAAACTTTAAAAGCTCACACTGGGTGAATGTAATACAAAGCCAGGCTCAGGAACTCCATTCTCACGTTAATAGGATACTTTTTTAAACATCTTAAATTTTGCAAAGTATTTTCACACTTGGTGTCTATTTGATCCACACCCAAAACCTTTGAGTTATGCAGAGCACAAGATACTAGTCCCATTTTGCAGACAAGGGGACAGAGACTCGAGTTCCAACGCTTTGCCCAGGTTCACAGAACCCCATGTGGGACTGGAATCTGTAGCCATGCCCGCTCCCTTCTGGTATATCTGGCTGGAATGGACAGAAAGACAGAGGGACGGCTATCCAATTCTCTTGATCAGTCCAGTTCTGCACCCTTGCTTCTGCACAGGTGTAAACGTCCCTGGACCATTCTCCTTCCTCTGCCACCTGTCCATTACCCTTCCTCCTAGCACCCAAATGTACAGGGGGCCTGAGGAGGAGAAATGGTCCAGCTCCTTCTATCCCAGCCTCCCAATTCACTGGTCCCATGCTCCATTTCAAATACAATAAGACCTTTTGAACATTTTTTTAGGTGGCTCTTTATATCTTTTCTCTTTGATATTTTCTTAAAGGAGAAATTCACTAAGGAATCAACTCTGGGTCACCCAATCATCAGAAGGGAGAGGGGACCCTGGCCTGTTTGGCTCAGTGGATGGAGCGTTGGCCTGCGGACTGAAGGGTCCCGGGTTCGATTCCAGTCAAGGGCATGTACCTTGGTTTCGGGCACATCCCCGGTGGGGGGTGTGCAGGAGGCAGCTGATCGATGTTCCTCTCTCATCAATGTTTCTGACTCTATCCTTCTCCCTTCCTCTCTGTAAAAAATCAATAAAATATGTTTTTAAAAAAAGAAGGGTGCGGGGAAGGTAGGATCAGTTCCAAAATTCAGCCACAAGAAACTGATCAGGTTATACTTATAGTCAGAGGGGGCTCTTCATTTAATTGAAGATTGGCAATGAAGTATCTAAATTCCCCCAGGAACAGGCCCAGTCCTATTGTTTAAAAGCAAAAACAACTATTCTGAAGCAGAAGTGAATTCCTTACATCTATCTGAACCCCTGTTGATTTACAACCATAAGATAATTTGCTTCAACTAATTTAGTTCCTGTTCCCTGTTCCTTTGTGCCTTTTAACTAACGTTTTAATTCTCTTTTGTGCTTTTTGTGCCACTAAATCACAGTAAAATTTATCTGTCTTTCTTTAAAAAACAAAAACAAAAAACCAAACCCTTTGACCCTGCATTTCTAATTTTAGGAATTTAACCTAAGTGGAAAATTAACATTGATGTAGGCAATTAAATTTACCTGTACAGGTTTTCACCAGGGTGTTGTTTATAACAGTGATGTGAAAACAATGGTAGGGGCTAAATTATATCAGGGAAAATATAGATATAGATATAGATATAGATATAGATATAGATATAGATATAGATATAGATATAGATATAGTTATATGCGTTATATACAATAGAATACATTTCAGCCTTTGATGCCTTAAATTAATACTTGTTGAAATTGGAAGACATCCATAATATAATTGTTTTGGAAAAGAAAGCCGTTTATAACAAAGAATTATGTGTATAGTAATCCCATTCTTGAGGGGGAAAATCATGAATGTGTATTTATGGAAAAAGGCCTGGAGAGAAACACAGAAGTGTTAACTGTGGTTATCTCTGAGTACTGGAGTTACCATAATTTTAATTTTCCTTTTTTTGGGTCTACTTTCTAATTTTTCTATGACAAAAATATAAATTCATTGTCAATTTAAAAAGAACACATGCACATTGACCCCTAAAAACCTCAAAAAGGGAAGCTACCCCCAAATCTAAGAGCAATCAAATGAAAGGGCCCTCAAATGTACTGATGATATGCATGTAATTGGTGCAACCTTTCTACAAAGCAATGTGGCCATATTTCCAAGAGCCAAAAAAATATCACATCTAATCATTTTGGTTTTAAGAACCTGTCCAAAAGCAATAATATATGCAGTGCTACTTACAGTGAGAAACATTGGACCTAATGTCCAACAACGGAGAATGATTAAATAACTTATAAAATGCTAAAGATGGACTCTTATGTGTATGCTTTTGAGAACCTCTAGGCTTGATAGAAGGCAGTCTGTGCATTTTTTTTTCCTCTGAGGTCTCAGAAAGGTCTGTCTAATTCTCACACCAATTTTTAAAAAGCATTTCATGTATATATATAATATATATATTATTGATTTCAGAGAGAAAGTGAGAGGGAGAGAGAGATAGAAACATCAATGATGAGAAAGAATCATTGATTGGCTGCCTCCTGCAAACCCCACACTGGGATCGAGCCTGCAGCCCAGGCATGTGCCCTGACCGGAAATCAAACCATGACCTCTGACTGTAAGCATGGTTGATGCTCAACCACTGAACCATGCCTGCTGGGCTCACACTAATTTCTGTGGTGTAAATACTCCTACCATGGCTGATTCAAACTACTAACATGACATCACTGAACACAGAGTTGAGAAGAAGAGATATTATATAGAATTTCTATCACATAAATAGATTAGATGTGAATAACCACATGGACAAAAATCATGGTTAAATATAGTAAATAATTAGGAAGTGGTGAATTCTTAGTACTACTAACTTTATTTTTAATATAAAATATTGCTTTGTAAGTTTATATAACAACTTTTAATAATGCCGTGTTTAACAATTGGTTCACAGAGTTCCTGAAAATATAATAGTTCTAAGCCAATATAACCGGGTTCTGGTATACCATTGACAAACCTCTCTCCCCATGATCATTGCTGTAGGATTTGTGGCCTCCAGCATAAACCTCTCCCTCCTTCCATCTTTGTACAGGGTTTACCCCAATCTACTTGTCAAATAGGCAAAAGTGGCCATAGGCAATTTAAACCCTTTCTTTTCTGGGACAATACTTCCTTCCCTTCACTGTTCCCACCCCACCCCATCCCTAATAATGTCTTTTTCCGTATTTTCTACTCTTCCTCTCTCTTGTTCAAGGTTGTCGTGCTCAATATGAGGAAATGGCTTGCAATTTGTCATTTATGCCTTGGTGTGATTTAGTTTAACTCTGATCATTACTTCTTCCAGCAAGGAAATGGGGGCAGTAAATAAAGCCTAACTTGTAATTCTGGAATCCCACTGACCAAGGTTTAAGTTATAGCTTTCCTATTAACTAGCTTTGTGATCTTGAATCAGCTAACTAACTTCTGGGAGCCTTACTTCCTTATCTCTCCAATGAGAAAAATATCAGTTATCCCTCATAGAGCTCTTCTGAAGATTATATGTGATAATATATTCAGGCCATTTAGCATAGAGCCTATCACCTAGTAATTGCTCAATAAATGGTATTTTATTTTACTATTTTTGGGTGAAATGATTTGGGTTATCAAATAATAGTTTAGAGAGGCACTTGGGAGAGGCAGGTACCTCTTTTTCCCCCTTCCTATCTGGCAATGCTCCCTTCTGTCTGAAAATGGTGCCATAGGTCATGCAAATGCCTCAACAACACAACTTCAGGGTCATTTTTTTTTTTTATGAGACCGTTGATATTTAAAGATGGTAATGCCTCAACAACACAACTTCAGGGTCATTTTTTTTTATGAGACCATTGATATTTAAAGATGGCGAGGACCATGTAGATGGAGGTTATTTTTAAGTAATGAACTTAGAGAAATGTAAAAGGAAATGCAGACTTCCCTTTTATAGACAATTTTTTTTTAGTTTTTTCTCCTGCCCTCTTCGTCTCCTCCTCCTTCTCCCCCTCCTTCATTTTCCTTTCCTTTTCCCCTTTTCTCCTACTCTTCCTCCATTTCTTCTTCTTTTTCTTCTACTTTCTCATTCTTAGACATTTTTATTTCTAGACATTCTAATAAACATTTATTCTTTCGGGGTCCTGATCTGATCTGAGAATTCCTTAAGACTCTTGCCTTCATAGCTTCTTTGTTGCCTGTCCTCTTCACCCACACTTTGTTGTAGAATAAAGACACACATGTCTACTCAGCTCAGAATCAGACATGCTACCTCCAACAGCCAGTGCGATGTAACTTATGAGTAACTAATGTAGTACGTAATCACTATGTCTCTTCGTGCAGTCACTTGGACTTTCAAAGCATCAGTTTCCTCATCTGTAAAGTAGAAGTGGCAAATCTTGCCATGCTCTTGATATGGAGCTTTGCGGGGATCTGATGAGCTAGGCTTGTGACCATGTACTGTGAATGGTAAAGCCTCAAGCATACTAGTACCCATGGTGAGAGTGACTTGTTTGTCTAATAGCATCTTCATGTACAAGGGGTTTTGAACTCACTTCTGAGATGAATTACTATTCTGCTACTTACTAGCTCTGTGATGTTGGGCAAATTACAGAACCTTTCTGATCCCCAGTTTTCTGCCTTATAAATGGGCATAATGACATCCTGCTTGGAGGATTGCTAGAAGGACTAAATGAATAATATATTCAAGGTGCTTAGCAAGGGGGAAAACTCCATCCCTTTGAATGACTACCTGTGGCTCAGCACTTAATGCCCCCTCTTGTAGCCCAGCAGGTAGCATGGTCCACCCAGCCTTCACAAAGACCTGATATCTGGTTTGTCCAGGAAGTCAGGTCCTTGGAAAAGTGGGAAGGGGCAAGTGTTGGTGAAGATGCCCCCTCAGCTCATTCTCCTGTCAGGACCTTATCCTTTTCTCTCCAGACACCTAGCTTGCTCTCCGATAGCTACCACTTTATTTGATTGAGGCCTGAATAGCAGAAGGGCCTAGCTTTCCATGTTCTTCTCCATCCCATCACTATCCTACCTGTCTTCCAACTTAATGTTAGCTAATAGGTGATACAATTGCTGCCCATCGTAAAGGCCTGACTTTTGATCTTTCAGGGTTGTATGTATCTACCCGGAAGTACAATCAAGGAGATTGCCACAAACCCAGAAGAAGCGGGGAAGTTTGTCTTTGAAGTCATTCCAGGTAAGTGACAAAAGGTGGGCCAGAGGTATATTACATTCTTATTTTCTTCTGGATCCTATAAGTCAAAGCTATATTCAGTGAGTCTGTCAACAGCTAACCAACCAACCTAATAAGAATGCATAGTAGGGCATAGCCAATTCACTCAGTGGTTAGAGCACAGGCCTGCGGACTGAAGGGTTGTGGGTTCGATTCCTGTCAAGGGCACATACCTTGGTTGCAGGCTCAGTCCCTGGCGCTGGTTGGGGTGCATGTGGGCGGCAACCAGTCGATGTGTCTTTTTCACATTGATGATTCTCTCTCTTCTCCCCCTCCCTTCAATTCTCTTAAAAAAATCAATGGAAAAATATCCTCAGGTGAGGATTAACAAACAAACAAAAGAAGAATGCATAGTAATTCCGTATATAGTCAATGAACCATACTAGCTCATTAACTAGCAAGCAAACTAAGTGGGTGCGCATTCTTTCAACTCTGTCTGCATTCCCTGAGCATGGACTTGGAGCCAGGTGTTCCATGACTAGACGCTGGGACACTGATCTGGAAAGTACATCATCCCTGCTCACTAAAGGAAGTTCAGTCTAGAAGGGGAGTGGGACATTAAAATTAAACTCTAAATTGAACCATGTGAAATTGCCATTTTGGTAGGTGGAAAGTAGTTGACAGTCAACCGTCTCTCCTGTGGTTCAATGTGACCTAACAAGGAATGACAGCTCTGACTTGCTGAGCACTTAGCTCGTGTCAGGTGCTGCAATTCACCTATGGAACATGTTAGCAGCTCACGGGACTGTGCTTTTCCCAAACAAGAGTCACTTTACCTTCCTGGAATGCATGTGGGACAAGGGGAGCTTGCCTTGCTTTGTCTCAGGGCGAGTTTGTATTTGCGTGAATCCATCACACTTAGGCTGCTTCTCCAGGTCTCTTGCTCCTTTGCCAGCCCGGCCCCACCAGGAACTCCAGGTCTGCTGCTTAGGCTGTGCAGCCAGGCAGCTGCACCGCGCTGACACAACAGGGCAGGCCACACATCCCCTGAGCACCCTTTCCCTTAGCTCCCCCCTCACCACTCAGCTGAGGCAGCTAAATGCATAAGAAACTTGATGGAAAAGGCAGTGTCGCAGAGAGGTTAGATGTGCCCCATCTGGAGCCATCCTGCCCGGGTCCAAAACCTTTTCCTGCCATTTACTATTTGTGTAACTGTGATCAAGTTCTTTCATTTCTCCCTGCCTCTGTTTCTTAATCTGTACAATGGGGCCAATGATGATAATAGTGAGGGTTAAATAAAGAAATATATACGAAACACTTGGTACAGTGTCTGGTATACAATTAATGCCATGTAAGTGTTTGATATTTGGGGAAGAGCTAGAGGAAATTATAATGTAGAAGCGAATCCTAAAACTGGCTATGACTATTCATATAAAACAAAGACAAATATTTCTTTTTAAATTCTGCTCTTCCCAGGGAACCTCCTCATGGGTCCTCTCTTGCTTTTTTATCTGAAGGTCTATCCATCTCTCTTCCTCCTCAGAGAAAGAGTTTATTTTTTTAGCCTCTCCTCTCTGGGGAAACCCACCTCTTTCCCAGGATTCCCTCCCCAGCACCATTCATGGGTTGCCACCATCCATGGTCACATGTGTTTCAAAGCCTGAATTTTCAATCTAGGGTAGCTCTACCGAAAACGCCAACTGCAAACTCACCATGGTCTTTGCACCAGTCCAGTACCCTCAGAGATTGCTGTGCTGGGGTAAAATGAAGATTTATTCTCTCATTTTCACTCACACGTGCAGGCTGCTGGGGAAATTCTTAGAAAACACACACACACACACACACACACACACACACACACACACACACGGTCTCGTAAAGAAAAACAATTCTAAAGCATGGCAAGGTTGGGAACAATTTTTCTAAAGGTGCCATTATTTCCAAGATACAACTCTTTACATTATGATGCAGAGACTTTTCAGTCCCTCTTTTTGTCATTCTCCTGTGCAAGATGATTCTCAGGGGCCATTGCTGGCATAAGAAATGACCCTGCTAATCAGGGTCATTTTTTGCAGTTATGTTTTTCTTTATTTGGGACAGGCAAAAATTTAGGGCAAGCTTCCTTCTCCGTTCTTACCTCCTGCAGAAAAATATCTGGTCTCCTACCCAAAGGGAGTCCCCAGGGATAAGGGGGTTATTTCTTCCAGTGCATATGTTGCCTTTGATTCTCATACTGCCTTATTAGATGTCATTCACTTATTCAACAAATGTATTGAGCATCTACTATGAGCCTGGCACTATTATAGGAACTGGGAATCCAGCAAAGAACAAAATAGCCTGCATATAGCCATATATGGGAGGAGACTGACAAGAGAAACAAATAAATGAGTAAATTGTATAGTTTTTTATGCTGGGATAGTACTATGAAAAAAATGAAGCAAAGAAAGACAAAGTGCTGGTTGAGATGGGGATGACAGTGGTTGATTTGTCATTTTAAATAGAGCAGGAAGAGTAGGCATCATTGAGAAGGTGACCTTTGAGGAGCAATCTCAAGGACCTTAAGGAGTGAGCCAAGTGCCCGTCTGGAGGAAGAGCATTCCAGGAAGGGGAACAGTCAATGCAAAGTCTCTGAGCCTATTCACATGTTCAGGAAACATCAAAGAGACCAATGTGGTTACAGTGGAATGATGACAGGAAACAAGAGTAGGAGATTCAGTCAGAGGTGAACACAGCTTTTACTGGTACTTGCAGGCAGTTGTAAAAAGTTTAGTTTTTATGCTATAACGATGGGAAGCCATTGGGAAGCTTTGAACAAAGAAATGACATGATCTGACTTATGTTTTTCCACTCTTTTGAGTTGAGAATTAAAAGAGACAAGGACAGATCAGGGAGACCAGTGAAGAGGCTATTGCAATCATGCAAGTGAGAAATGAGAACGGTGAAGGGGTGAGAAATAATCATTTCTGGATACATTTTGAAGGTAGACAGGACTTCATTTGCTGATAGATTGGATGTGGGAAAGAGAAGCCAAGGTTGACTGCAAGGTTTTTGCCTAAACAATTGGAAGGATGTATTTGCTGAGATTTGTGCAGCTAGCAAATTTTGGGGGGAAAAGCAGGCTTTAGTTTTGGACAGCTATAATAGTAAAAGCATAATATGTTAATTAGACCAGACGTCCTTCCAGATGTCCTTCCGTCCTTCCGGATGAAACCGGGGGGAAGCCCGGGTCCTGGGTGCCAGAGGGAAGCTGGTACCAGCAGCCAGGGGGAAGGAAGGCCTACTCTTGCATGATTTTCATGCATCGGGCCTCTAGTATCAAATAATTGCCTAGATATTAATGATAAGGAAACTGATGTTCAGGATAATTTAGCTACTGCTGTGAGAGAGGTAAGGATAGGATGTTAAGGGATTTAGAATAGGGACTCCCCACTTACTTTGAAGTGGGAAGAAATGATATTAAGAAATATCCCTAGAGAGGATGACATTTGAGTTAGGTTTTTAAAAATGGGTAGGAGTTGCTCAAGCAGGGAAGAAAAGAAGGGAGGCTTCTTTCTGATAAGGAAAATAGCCCAATATATGACACGTTGAACAAACTGTTTAAGTCAGAGAAAACATGTCCCTGAGGGCAGAGTTGCTATTCATGGGCTTTGTATTAATGTTAGGCAGTTTCTCCCAAAGAGAGCTCATCCTAGCACTTCCATGTGCATTTTTTTATGGGGCAACAAAAGATATTCAAAAGCCTTTTGGACCTGGTTTCTTGAACCTATATTAATATCACTGTGCCTCGCCTTCTCTACCCTATGGGATGGCCGGATTTTGAATCTATGTTGCCATTGGGTTATCAGATCTCCTGACCAGAAGTGTGAGTCCATGGAAGCCTTGGCCACTCTGCAACATCTTGAGAGCTGGATGTTTCTCCATGGGGTTGCCATGGTCACACTGAAGGATCTCTCAGGAATCAGGGTAAACCGAAAGGCAGTTCTTAACAACAGAATGGATTGGGGTGTGGAAGGACACCAGATAAATTTTGGCCAAAATTGGGAGCAATATGGCCTAGTGGAAACTCTTCTTGGAAGAAAGGAGACCAGTAGCCCTGCCCTGAGTTTGGCAGTAACTTACTGGGTACCAATGAGCAGGTGCCTGTGAATTTCTGGGCTTCAGTTACATTATCTGTGGAGTGGAAATGATACTAAAGCAAAGGAAAATTGTGATTTCTATGGAATGTTTCAGTTCTGCCTTGAGAACTTTTTACTTCCCATTCTACTTTTGGAAACACCCGGATCTCAGGATGTTCCTGAATAGCCAGGGCTTCCGTGGACTGACACTTCTGGTTAGAACAGCGGATGACCCAATGGTAACATAGATTCAGGATTAGGTCATCACAAAGGATGAAAGAAGATGTGGCTTGGTGACATTAAGATGGGTTCAAGAGACCAGAACAGGTGGGAATTGAAAGTCTTTTGCTTTCCTGAAAGAAAAAGTGCTTGTCTAGAGAACTAGAGTGTCCACAAATATGGTGCTAAAACAGGCTCTCTTTGAGGGAAATGCCCTGACATTGAGAGAAGATTGGGTTGATGTCTGCAAAGGCCTTTGAAATTTAATAGAATCTGATAATTGAAAAGGGTTGCTATTATTTTCTTGTCCTTCCCAAGACCCATGTTTGATGCTCTCCTTCTTCTTTTCTCCTCCTTCTCTCTCCCTATTGTTCTCTATTATATTTTCTCTCATTTTCTCTCTTGGTCTCCTCCCGTACTCTCTCCAACCCCTGTCATTTTGTCCACCATTTTGTCCATTTGAGAACATCAATTCAGGAAATACTACATATATCCTTTTACAATCTTGTGTTTAAAGTAAAAAATGGTAAATAAAATCCTAGCAAACTTCATTTGTCAATTAAATATGAATGAGAACCTAACATTTGCAATGTCTTGTACAGGCGGGAGAGCAGTAATCTGAGCAGAAAGCACCGATTTCATGAGAAAGACACACATACGTTTATTGTCCCTCCCTCCTGAGATGCTGTTCTCTTCCCCACCCCCACAACTGAATTCAAGGGTAGCTTAGGAAACTATGATTGGCATGATGAACTGAACGAAGTCTTCAAACTTGTATGGGGTGATCCTGTCTCCTCTAATACGGAACCTGCCCCATGAATTTCCTCTTCCTTTTTGGTAGCAAATGGCTTCTGTCCTCTACAGGAGCAGCTGTCAGCCCAAGTCACCCTCCCTGACTGCAAGCCATTGTGGTCAGTGTTTGTCTAGAGAACTAGAGCGTCAGCAAAAACAATAAGGGTGCACAGATATTCAGTGCCACTGAGGAAAAGTAGATAATGCTTTGGTGTTGTTTGAAGGATTGTTTAATTGAACCATGGAAGCAATTCAGGTTCACTTCTCTTTGCTTCTTCCTGCTCCAGCCCCTTTCCACTCTAAGACCTTCATTAGTGTTGCTTCTTCCTCTAGCCTCATGGGACCAGAGTCGCACGGGACAGGACTCCTATGTCCTCATGGCCAGCTCCCAGGCGGAGATGGAGGAATGGGTTAAATTCCTTAAGAGAGTCGCTGGCACACCCTCTGGAGGTAAGGACCCTGGCAGGCTTTTGTGGGCAGGTGTCTGTAACATCTCTGGGATAGGAGGGAAGTAGCTCTAGATTTGATCTTTCCTTGAACAGTGTCCAAAGGCCAGAGGACAACTCTGAGGCCATGCTCATTGTCAAGCCTCTAGCTTCCTGCCCCAGGTGATCTCAGCTGATGTCTGGAGTCCACCTGTGAACCTAGGGTCTGGGGCAGGAAGTCAGTTCTGGGACCTGTGACCTGCCATGTGGGGGCTACAAGAAAAGAAGTAATTTGGATGGGACAGCCAAACTCAGGAGTGCCTGCCTCAGTCATCCTGAACAGCGGCAACCTATTACAAAAAAAGAATAACATGGTTTCATTAAACATTTCCCAATTCCCAAACACAATAATTTTATGGTGCTAATCAGGCTGAGATGAAGCTTTTATATACTAAAGCTCTATTATATGCTATCCAGCCTGCATAAACGTAGCTTCAACCTTCCTTATTGCCCTGGATTGTGAAATGGTTGACATTTTCTGTTTTTCCCAGCCCAGCACGTTAGGCTGTCTGCATTGACAAGGGTCATGGATGTTGCCTAATCGTATACCTCCTCTGAGTCAAAATATTGCCTGTGTGCTGTAGCCAACATCTGTATCCCTTGTGCTCGGCTCGGCCCTGCCACTGCACACTGCTTTACTGTGTCATTATCCACATGGGGATTTCTCCCTCCTCCCTCCCCAAGGCCAACATCCTAAGAAAGTCAAGCATAAGTCCTGTAGGCTGGGGAAAGTCCAAGGGAGGAGTACAGCACGATCTATTTATTCAAGGAACAGGGATTGGTTTTGCTGTGGCATTTCAGATGCTCTTCAAGCCTCTCATTGAACCCAAATGATAGATCTCAGGATGAGAAGGCATTTGAAGATAGCAGAGTCCAGTCTGAGGTCCCGGGGCAAGTCAGACATTTGTTCTTCCTGTTTGTAAGTCAGGAAACTTCAGTCCTGAAGAAGTAAATAATTTGCCCAAGGGATCCAGCCATGGAGCAGCAGGGCCAGGGCTCCTGCCTCTGTATGTAGCTCACTTCCACTTGTAAAGATCCCCTGGTGCCGTTAGCTGGGCAGGGCACACACCCTCAACCACTGAGAAGTCTGAGAATGCTGCTGCTGCCTCATTTGTGAAATGTTCTATGGATTTTCCCACCCAGAACCTGCCCACTGCTCATGACCTTCACTGTACCTTCCTGTGAGGTGTTATACTGTTTTGTCTGAATTACAGTCGTCTTCAACAGAACAGCCAGAATGAACTGTTAAACCTGTTTGTCAGTGGAGGTCCTCCTCCACTCAACACTGTCCCATAGCTTCACTTCTACCTCGAGGAAAAGTCAAAGGCTTATAATGAATCACAGTGCACAGTCTGCCCCATCCATTACCTTTTACCTTGTCTTCCAGTACCTCCTCCTGTGCTTATTTCACTCCAAACTCACCAGCCTCCTTGATCTTCTCCAGACACCATGGCAATGTTTCTGAACCAAGGTCCTTGCGCTGTCTGTCTGTAATTCTCTTCCCCCAGGTAGCTGTATGGTTTGGTCTCTTGCTTTGTTCCTGTCTTTGCTCAAACATCACCTCAGTAAGCCTGCCCTTGACCATCTCATTTAATATTGAACCCCTTCCCCACCCTTCTCCCAGCCTTCCCTATCCCCCCTTCCTGCTTCATTTTTCTCCTTTCCTACCTTCTTCTAACATGCTAAATAGTCTACTCATTTGTTTTGAGTTGGTCTCCCCTCACTAGAATGAAGGCTTCAATCTGCTTTGCAGGATTTTTCCCCTCTATCTGGGGGAGTGCTGTATCCCAGAATCTAAATAGTGCCTGACAGAGTAGGTGCTCAATAAATGTTTATTAAAGGAATAGGCCCAGGAATGGTCCCCTTTATCCAAGCAGCACTGTGTTCTACTCCCCTAGGCTGTCTACTTTGATAAATGACTACCACCTTATCTGCAAAATTATTCGGTAAGTGGCCTGCTCCCTCTAGAACAGTGGTTCTCAACCCTCTGGCCCTTTAAATACAGTTCCTCATGTTGTGACCCAACCATAAAATTATTTTCATTGCTACTTCATAACTGTAATGTTGCTACTGTTATGAATCATAATGTAAATATCTGATATGCAGGATGGTCTTAGGCGACCCCTGTGAAAGGGTCATTCGACCGCCAACGGGGTCACGACCCACAGGTTGAGAACTGCTGCTCTAGAATGATCTTCCTTTAAGCACATTAATGATGAGCTTTAGTGAAGTTTTTTAGGGTTCATAGACCCCTTAAAGAATTCAATAAAAGCTTTGGATACTCTCTTCAAAGATATGTTCAGACAAAATAATTTTGAGTTCAACTGCAGGGTATTTTCAGACCCCAGTAGTCATCTACCTTCCCCAGGTAATGAATCCCAACTTTTCGAAGTCACTCTAGTGACAGTTCTGCAAAGCTAAGGCCTCTTCCTGCCCCAGTCCCCTTCCTGGCCTCCTTTCTCCCTTGATGGGAAAGATGGCCTACGTGGTTTCCACAGCATACCCAGCTTCTTCCCTGTGGCTCCTCCTGCCTGGTAGCTGGCCCTGAGCATTCCTCTCACCTTATCTGATTCAGGACCCAATTCCAATGCGAGTGTGTGGATGTTTCCTATGCGTCATAGACACCAGCTGGGAGTCCTACAACTTAACTCAGTACTGACATTACCCAGATAGCATCAGATTCCACAGCCTAAGGGCCCAGTCCTACAAGACTGACCCCAATCACGTACACACTTCAGATGTCATGGCAAGTCCAGCTGGCACCTGTGCTCCAGGATGGCTGACGATAGATGGGAATTTCCAACAATGACCTCCTTGGTTTTGATTAATTTGCTAGAGTGGCCTACAGAACTCAAGAAACCAGTTTACTGGCTATATGCCAGTTATTATAAAAAGATATAACTCAGAAATAGCCAGATGGAAGAGATACATAGAGCAAGGTATGGGGAAAGGGACATGGCACTTCCATACCCTCTCCAGCAGCTCCACTCTCCTCTCATCTCCATGTGTTCACCAACCCAGAAGCTCTCTGAACACTGTCCTTTTGGGTTTTTATGGGGCCTGATAACACAGATATGATTGATTAAATCACTGGCCATTGGGAATTGATTCAACCTCCGGGCCCTCTCTCCTCCCCTGACTTCTGAGTTGAGAGGGTAGGATTGAAAGTTGCAACCCTCTCATCATCTGGTGCTTTCCAAAAGATAAAAGATACCTTTATAACTTTCATAATGGAAGTTCCAAGAGTTTTACAAGCTCTGTGCCAAGAAACGAGTCAAAGGCCAAATATATATTTCTTGCTATCAATCACACTGTCACACCTTAGACAGCAGCACCTTCCCCAGAAGTTCTGGTTGCAATTCCAGGTTTTTGCAATTTAAGTAGGATAAAGGGAAGAGAGGAGATCACATCTCCACCACTGGTGACTTGTTCTCAGGCTCATAGCTGCCCGTTTTCTTCAAAACACCTCCTCCTTTTAGTAAGAGGGTTCTGTCTCCGCTGGATCCCCACATTGAAACCTGGTCTCTGTCCCATCCCCAGGGATCAGGCAGTTCACATTGCAAATTGCTGCTCAGTCGGGACCCGTTCTGCCCTCTTCCTCCGGAGGCTGGCCATCGGAGGCATTTCTCAGGCCACTGCTGGGCGCATAAGCACTGCACTAAATTGTGTATACTAGTAGGTCTGCTCAGCCCAACCAGATAATAAGGCCCAAGAGTACTAGTAGGTCCCATGTGTTAAGCGTCTTTGTGTGTTTGCCAACACTAGGCATAGGGTATATAAGTATGGAATTGTTAAGTGCCTAAGTTCCTTGGCTTCCTCTCATTTTTGAAGTTCTCTTGTCCTTCAGAGCATGATTTCACAATCTGTAGCACAGTGTGGCTTGTGAGAGAGTGCTGTGTCTGTCATTCATTGTTCCATGTGTTCTGGTTCTTTCTCTCTAGCTAAACTGGACATTAAAAGGGACGATTTTTAAACTCATTTTCATTAATTCCCTCATTCTCTTCCCCAAGATCCTAACACCAGATAGATACAAGTTTATTCATGAACTCAACAAATGTTTCTTGAGAATGTGTCATAGGCCAAGCATTGTACCAGCACCAGGGGTACAACAGTGAAAGAGAGAGGGGTGGGAGGGGTGAGGAAGGAAGAGAAGAGAAAAAAAGGCAAAGTCCTTTCTCTCAGGGATCTCATAGTATAGTAGAAGACACAGAAATTAATTTTAAAAACACACAAAGAAAACCATGTAACTACAACTCAAAAAAATACCACAAAGGAAAAACACATGATAAGATGGGGGGTGCTGGGTGAGGGGGAGGGGGTAATTGTATTTGTTAAGAAATTCAGAGAAGCCCTGAACTAGTGATGATTAAGCTTAAATCTGAAAGGCTAATAGAGGCTAACTAGGCAGAGAAAGAGGAAGAGGAAGTGTCTGTTAGAGAAATAGCATGTGCGAATGTCCCGTGACAGAAAGAACAGGCTCTGGACTGAGAGGAAGGTGACAACAGTGAAGAGAGCCCTGAAAAAGATGTTGGTCCTCATTTTAAGGTGGCTTGGAAGAGGGTGGTGATGGTGGAGATGGAGAGAAGTGACTAGGTCTGTGCAGCATTTGAGAGGTAACATTGCCAGACCTGGGAGTGAATTCAAAATGAAGGAGAATGTGGGTCCAAGATGAGTCCTCTATTCCTGGCCTAGGAGTGAATGGAGGGATGAACACTCTTGGTTGGCAGCATCGCACTGCCCAGGGCCTTTCCTGGCAATCCTCCCTGCTCCTGCCAATCGCAGCTTCACTCCCACCCCCACCCCTAACCCCCATCTCTTACCCCCGTGATGCCAAAAGTCCATTTCAAGTCTCCTGGGCCTGTCTGGTAGGGTTGCTGCACTCTTTGCTAAGTCATCTCCACGGGAGGGGGAAAAGCATCTCCATTGAGCCAACAACCCACCTCCAAGGCTATTCTCTCTGAAGGCTTGACCGAACCACCTACAACTGTGAAAGCGTTCCCAGAGAAGGGTGGGCTGGCTTCATCAACGCTAAGTGAAATCCTGTGTTCCTGCCAGATGCTTTGATATATGGGGCAATGCTGGTAAGGGCTTGCGTGAGGGAATTTTTTTTAACCCACCTCCGTGGTATCCCTTGAATGGCAGTTGACAATTAGCTGCTAAGTAAAAGGAGGCACTTATTTTTATTGTGGGCCCTGACAGCTTTATGTTCACTCTTTAAAAGCCAAGAGTCATGTGAATAAAGGTGAGTGGGGAGGGGAAGTGGTGTGGGAAGGAGGAAGGGAGGGCCCGGGGCAGGTGCCTACAGATCCCAGAGTTTCTGTGCTGGAGTCAGAATCCGCGCAGTATTTACAAGCATGTGCTGGTCTGGAGGCGAGAGAGGGTGGCTCTCCCAGCCTGGGGAGGAGGAAAGGCTTGAGGCTGGCCCAGCAGAGGCTGCGATTCCTCGCTGTTGCCTGCCTCGTATTCCCAGGATGCCGCAGCGGGCAATGGGCTGTGGCTTTCCCTCTCTGGCACTGCTCTTTGGCTGGAATTTCAGGAAGAAAATCCACAAGCTCCGAAAGAAAGGTATTTCTTTTCTATTGTGTGATTCAGGTCTTCCTCCAACAGACACTTAGCCCAGCTCCCCTTCCTCCCTCCCTTGTCAGGGATGGGGAAGCTCCTGGAACTGTGCCCACGGGTAGCAGGTACCAATGCTTAGCAGG